TTGGTCTATTTGGTTCACCTTTTATTGTTTATTTTATTTTATTTTCACTTGCTTACATACGGGACAGACATGACTGAGGGATAGGAAAGGGAGAAAGAAAGATGAAGGAAAAGAAAAACAGAAGGGAAGAGGGACAGTGAGAAAGGGCACTTAAAAAGAGAAAGAAGAGAAAAAATCTCCTGGATCACCTGTTGAGAGAAAAGAAGAGAAAACAAGCAAAAAAAACAGAGCAACATACTAAACACAACACCATCACGGTTAATCTAGCTAAGTGTAAACAGCAGTAAATACTAAATATTGAATGTTGTTGTGTAGCAAGCAGGACCGACAGCGCACAATGTGCTTGGAAATAGATTAGATTAGATTAGATTAGATGAAACTTTATTAATCCCTCGGGTGGGTTCCTCGGGAAATTCAGTTTCCAGTAGCAAAGCACCGAAAGAAGTTGCATGTTACAGATACATTAAGGGGAATGAGAGTAAGGATATAAGCAAATCAAATACACCATATATACACATATATAGATACAGAATATACAATATGGATAAATAGGATTGCTCATTTGAGTGAGTATATTGCACAGTGATTATTGCACAGTCAAATATAAGAAAAAAGACAAAACAAAAAAACAAATATTGCACAGTGTAGAAAAGCACCTACAACTCAGTTGTTCCTGCCCTCCCTTGTCCCCCTGTTTCTCCTCCCTCTCCCCTCCAGTGAGGCCAATAGAGGTGTAGTTTATGTCTATGAACAGTGAACACCTGTGTGCACACCTGTGTGGATCAGCGCGCTTGTATTCAAAAGGTCATGGTCTGCTAGAGGATGTGGGGGGGCCACAGCCCCGTCCTCCAGGGCATGAAGCAGGTATGGAGGAGATCAAACTCCAGACATCCAGAGGCCCCCAGAACACAAGAGACCAAGGAAGACCAACAGAGGGGCAGCCGCGCCACTGTCCCAGAAAGAGCTGAGGAGAGTCCCAGATGAGGGCTCACTCAGCAGCCGCGGAGCAGAAGCCAGGGGGAGTTGCAGTGACGCGCCCGTGAGCTCCGCTGGCAGCCAGCCGTGCCTGAGTGACCGAGCCCCAGGCTCGAGAGGCCGAGGGCACCCCCCCGAAGGGGCCCGAGTGAGCCCCAGGCTCCAGGCCCCGACAAGCAGAGTGAGTCGGTGTGTACCTGGACGCCCATCCCCGGACACAAACGCACCGATGTCTGAAGGGCGTCTGCCACTGGCAGGGGAAGTGGTGGGGGAGATAGGCCTCCAAACCTTGGAGGGCCTGAGATGTCCCCAGAGAGGTGGCGTCTGATACCCAACCTGACATATAGACACAGACATACAGGCACACACAGACACAAACATCCATTCCCACCCTCATGCTTTGATAGAAGTAACTAGTAATGTAACTAAGTTACTAATTTAAAGTAACTTACCCAACACAGGGTATAAATAACGTGAAAGTATGGATCCATCCTGCATCCTTGTATCAGCAGTATTCTGCAGACACTGTAGTGACGTCGTCTGGATCGGAATCTTGCACGAATGTTTCCAGAACCTCGTTGAATCTGTGACACGAAGAATGAAG